GTCTGACCACTCTTTCTGTGAAAATTTTTTCCTAATGTCCAGTCTGAACCTCCCCTGTTGCAGTTTAAAGCCATTCCCTCTTCTATCGCTAATTACCTGTGAGAAGAGACCAGCACCAACCTCTCTACAGTGTCCTTTTAGGTAGTTGTAGAGAGTGATGAGGTCTCCCCTCAGCCTTCTCTTCCTCAAGCTGAACAGTCCCAGCTCCTTCAATCTCTCCTCATAGGATTTATTCTCCAGGCCCTTCACCAGCTTGGTTGCCCTCCTCTGCACTCGCTCCAGCACCTCGAGATCTCTCTCGCATTGAGGTGCCCAAAACTGGACACAATACTCCAGGTGTGGCCTCACCAGTGCAGAGCACAGGGGAACTATCACCTCCCTACTCCTGCTGGTCACACTATTTCTAACACAAGCCAGGATGCCGTTGGCTTTCTTGGCCACCTGGGCACACTGCTGGCTCATGTTCAGCTGCCTGTCAGTGAGAACCCCCAGATCCTTCTCTCCCTCACAGCTCCAGCCACACCTCCCCCAGCCTGTAGCCATGCAGGGGGTTGTTGTGGCCCAAGTGCAGGACCTGGCACTTGGCCTTGTGGAAGCTCAACCCGTTAACATTGGCCACCGGTCCAGTCTCTCCAAGTCTCTCTGTAGAGCCTCCCTGTCCTCATGCAGATCGACACTCCCACTTAACTTGGTGTCAGCTGTGAACTCACTGATGATACACTCTGTGTCTTTATCAAGATCATCACTAAAGATGTTGATCAGAAATGGTCCCAACACCGAGCCCTGAGGAACACCACTTGTGACCGGCCGCCAGCTGGATTTAATCCCGTTGACCACCACTCTCTGGGACGGTCCATCCAGCCAGTGCTTGATCCTGCAGACCGTTCGCTCATCCAGACCATGAGCAGCCGGTTTTTCTGTGAGAATTCTATGGGGAACTGTGTTGAATGCTTTTCGAAAATCCAGGTAGACAATATCCACAGCTTTTCCCTCGTCCAGTAATTGGGTCATTTTGTCATTGAAGGAGATCAGGTTTGTCAGGCAGGTCCTGCCTTTCATAAACCCATGCTGATTGGGCCAGATCCTCTGTCCATCATATGACTTGTAATGGCACTCGAGATGACCTGCTCCATGGCATTGAGGTCAAACTGACAGCTCTATAGTTTCCTGGATCCTCCTTTCTGCCTTTCCTGTAGATGGGTGTCACATTTGCCACCCTCCAGTCCAGTGGGCCCTCCCCAGTTAACCATGACTTCAGGTAAATCATGGACAGCGGCTTGGTGAGCACATCTGCCAACTCCCTCAGCACCCTTGGGTGTAACCCATCTGGTCCCACAGACTTGTGTGCACCCAAGTGGTATAACAGGTCTCTGACCACTTTTTCCTTAATTGTGCTGACCTCATTCTGCTTCCCTTCCCCATCTCCCAGCTCACGAGGCTGGGTGTCCAGGGAACAGACAGTTCCACTGCTAGAGACTGAGGCAAAGTAGGTGTTGAGCACCTCAGCCTTTTCCTCATCCTTAGTTGCTATGTTTCCCTCTGCATTCAATAAAGGAGGCAGATTTTCGTTAATCCTCCTTTTGTTGTTAATGAATTTACAGAAACTTTTTTTATTATCCTTAACAGGTGTAGCCAGGTTGTGCTGTAGCTGTACTTTGACTCTCCTAATGTTCTCCATGCATAACTTCACGACATCTTTATAGTCTTCATGTGAGACCTGCCCCATCTTCCAAAGGTCATAGATTCTCCTTTTGTTTTTGAGATCCAGCCAGAGGTCCCTGTTTAGCCAGGCTGGTCTCCTTCCCCACCCATTTGTCTTCTGGCACGCAGGAACAGCCGCCTCCTGTGCCTTTCAGACTTCTCTCTTGAAGTGTGTCCAGCCTTCCTGGTCTCCCATATCCTTTGGGGCAGCCTCCCAAGGGATTCTGTCAGACAGTCTTTTGAACAGGTCAGAGTTTGCCCTCCAGAAGTCCAGGGTGGCAGTTTTACTAACCCCTTTCTTTGTTTCTCCAAGGATCGAAATCTCAATCGTCTCACGATCACTGCACCCTAGATGGCCTCCAGCCTTTACCTCCCCACATGCTCTTCCCTGTTGACAAGAAGCAGGTCCAGGAGGGCACCTTCCCTGGTCGGCTCCCTCACCAGCTGTGTGAGGAAGTTATCCTCCACACAGTCCAGAAACCTCCTGGACTGTTCCCTCTCTGCTGTGCTGTGATCCCAGCAGATACCCGGGAGGTTCTAGTTCCCCACAAGAACAACGGCAAGTGACTGCGAGATTTCTCCCAACTGTTTGTATAAAGCTTCCTCCACCTCACTGCTTCGGCTGGGGGCTCCATAGCAGACTCCCCAGCAAGATCTGCTTTATTGGCCCTTAACCTAACCCAAACACTCTCAACCCCATTATCTCTATACTTGATTTCTGAGCTCTCATAGCATTCTCTTACATATAGAGCCACTCCACTGCCTCTCCTTCCCTGTCTGTCCCTCCTGAAGAGCTTGTAGCCATTGATTGCAACACTCCAGTCGTGTGAGACATCCCACCACCTTTCTGTGACAGCTGCTATCTCAATAATTCTCGTGGTGCTTCATGGCCTAGAGCTCCCTCTGTTTGTTGCTCATACTGCGTGCATTGGTATAGATGCACTTGAGATGAGCTCATGAATCCGACACCCTTTTGTGACTGTGGGCCCCATTCCCTACCACACCCTTCGCAGGTGCTTCCATGATTTCTAAATATCTATCACTTCTCTCAAATGAAGTGGCAGAGGGAGAGCCCTCACTAGTCCACCATCCTTCAAGCCTTGGCACGCTTCCCTTGAGCTTGTTCCCAGCAGGTCCAGTTATCTCCCCCTCCCCCCTCATATCTAGTTTAAAGTGTAGTTTAGGTCTTTCTTTATTAACACCACAGTAGTAACATTTCTAAGTAATGACAAATGGCATTGCTTCCCTTACTGCATAGCTTTTATGGAACACCTGTAAGATACATGAAAGCTTCCTTTATGCTAGAAGTAAACTGGTGGGGAAGACTTCTTTATTGTTCAACTTGGAACCAATTTTTCTATACATAGTGGTGACTCTTCCTTTGCAAGAAATATGTGTGCTTCAGTAATTTTTCCTGTGTTTCTCTGGGTACCTAATACAACACACTATTATGTAGGTTTTGGCTGTGGTGTTTGCTGAAATCTTATTCTTGGGAAAGCCACCTAGGATTTTTTTTGTATACCACAGCTAATTTTTAGATACTATTGATGATTGTTTCATGAAACAGCTGGTTCATGAGATATTTGATTGGATAGTCTGTAATGTGTAGAATCCAGTTCAGAGTCTGAGTTAAAGCCACACTTTGTAAGCATCATCAGAGTGTATTAGATTAAGCAGAGGCACAGCTAATGTAGAGACAGGAAGAATTAACCTCAAAAGTCCTCTGCAGAAAAGAACTTATTAAAATGAGAAAATTGTCTCAGAATGAAGCTAAAAGCTGCAAAATAGATATTTAACTGGTAATGTTCTTAAAGAGTTGTGTCTGAACACAGCTGAAAGCATAATAAATCCTGGCACATGTAATATGAAAATAGGCAGTCTTGGAAAAAAAAGAAAAGTCAGGTATCAGCTAGCTGAAGGAATCGAAGCTTTTGTAGAATCCTTTTTCAATATTACATCAAGAACCAAAACCCTGCAGAGGGTCTGTGCAGCCAGATGATCAAGTTATTAGTGTAAAAGAAGAACTCAGAAAGAGCATGGCTACTGCAGAGAAACTGAACAAAATGTGTTTTCTGCTAATCGGGAAGATTACCAAACTGAAATTCCTTTTTTGGGAGGCACACAAGAGGGCTTGACCTAAAAACATTCAGAAATGAGATTGCTTACTTGCTAAGAGTAGCATCTGATCTCATGCTTTGAACTCCCTGGCTACCTGAAGCTTGGAGGGTGCCAAATTTTATGTCAGTATTTAAAACAAGAATGACCAGCCTGACATCCATACCATTCAAATTTATAGATACTGTAACAAAGAATAAAAGATGCAGAAGTAAGTAGGATCAACTTGGGAATAATCAATAGGACTTCTTTAAAGATAAGTTCTGTGTTTAAAACCTCTTGGAGTTTACTTGATGGGGGCAGGAAAGGTGGCTAAGATTTAGATTCCCAAGAGATTTCTGGTAAAGTCTGACATCGAAGGCTTTTGAGCAGCCATTGGATGGGAATGCAGTAATGGTTTAAATGGTAGGAAGAAGTGTAAAAAACTGATTTCTTTGCATAGGAGGGAAGTCACCAGCAGAGTTTTTGAGGGTTTGGTCTTGGGATCTGTGCTGTTCAGTATAGTTATAATGAGTGTGGTAAAGGGAGTGAGTAGTCATATGAGAAAGTTTGTTGACGTTACGGTTCTTCAAGGAAGAAAAGAGGAGAAGAGAGTGAAGGAGGCCTGTATAGAACTGAGTGAGTGGCCACAGGGCAGCAGGGAGGGTTGGAGACTGCATACAGGAAACAGGAGGGCACTTCAGCCTGGAAGAGACATGAATAAAAACATACAAAAGAATCATGCAGATGGCAGGAGACCTGTGGGTCTTCCCATCAGAGATGACAGAGGATGTCTCTAACAGAGATGTAAGAGCATGTTGTAGATGAAGATGTTTCTAAAGAGAACCTAGAGAGAAATCCTTTGGCAGTTACAAAATAGACTGTGACAAGCTCAGGAAAACACCTGAAAAAAAATAATTGGAAGAGTATTCGAAGGAAAGTATTAAATATGATTGCACTATTCTTACAATTCTCTGTCATCACTGTTGGAGGTGGAATACTGGGCTATAACACTGGTGTCTATAGTGGTATGGCCATTGGGCTCTTATCCAGGTGCTTGAACTGCTGAATTTGATACATGAGATTCATTTTCATTCATACATAAATAAGTATATAGGGAGTTAATGTATATATTTAGCTGTAGATAAGACAGACTTTCTTTGTGTGTGACTAAATCTCCTGTTTGTTTTCCTTTCTTTCAGTATCATTTTATGGTAATAGCTTTGTGGAGTTGAACATGACAGAAGCATCATCTCAGAATTTCTTACAGTTGCGGTTTCGAACAAGCAAGCCACATGGGCTGCTTTTTCTTGCAGCTGGGAAGAATGATTATTGTTTAATGGAGCTATGCTCAGGAAGTTTACAGGTATGGTTTATAATTGTAGCTGAAAAGATATGTGTAGCCTGTATTATTCAGTGCTTCTTTTTAAGCTGTTATCTATAACAATTCTAAAAGTTTATGCTTAAAAAAATGGAAAAAATCACATAATATAATTGAAAAATTCAAAATATGCTATTTATTTCTCACAATGACAGTTACTAAAATTGACCTCTCAAAGCCTTTGAGATCTCTAGATCTTAAGGTCATTATCTTCAAAGCATGAGGTTCAGTAAAGACAGAATTTCAGATTTTATGATGTTAGTGTTATAGAAAATGTTTAGATCCAAATAATAATTTTTCTGCAAGGTAAGTTCTTGAAAGATCATTGTCACTTGGGTTCTCAGGAGTTGTTGATCCTATCAGAACTGCAGAGGAGTTCATTTCCTGTTCTGCAGTTATTCAAGTCATATTTGTAATGTCAAGTAAACCTACACAAAATTTTAATGGGATTTTATTTTTTCCATTATATTTTATAAAGGAAGTGTTTAATATGAAAATTTATTAAAATTAATGCATTAACTATATATTAATACATAATTGTGTAAAATACCACTTTGGATTGTGTTAGTTAAAATTCTCTCTCTTGCAGTTGAGAATTAACTTTGGCATGGGGGAGCGAGTACTGCGTTCTCAGCAAAGATCTCAGCTGAATGATTTAGATTGGCACCTCGTTGAACTACATCATGAACATGATAATGTCACATTGGTAATTGATAACCATGATAGAACTAGTGCAAAAATGCCTGGAATTCTTTACGAATTAAATATTGATTATGGATTCTACTTAGGTGGTACTAATAAACTTGATGTTCCCTACCTTGTTGAAGCAGTACCTGGTTTTCGTGGATGTATCGATGATGTGTTGTTCAATCAGCTAGACATTCTGATGCCTTTGAGACCTTCTCCTGGTTTTAAAAATGTCCATGAAGTTTTGGTGGGATGCAGTGATGAATTCTTCGCAGGTGAAGATGAACCCATTAGTTTCTTCAGTTCCAGATCCTATGTTTCTTTCCCATCATGGAATGTTGATGATGAGGGAATCTTGGAGTATACATTGCAAACCTCAGCTGCGCGTGGCTTGCTGCTTTACCATCCTGGGCAAGCAGGAGATTTCATTGCAATGGAGATAGAAGATGGATTAATTAAAGCCTATGTTGGAAAACATAAAAGTAGAGCCCAGCTTTCCTCTCGTAGGTCAGTCAATGATAGTCATTGGCACTACGTTGAACTGAAATTTACTGCAGGATATTTGCAGCTGACTTTGGATGAAGAAATTGTGAAAAAATCATTGCCTCCTCACAGTAAGCTGCCGCTTCTGAAGGGGTCTCTCTTTGTAGGTGGTGTAGATGACAGCACACGATCAGATGTGATTAAGTTAGAGCTTATCTCAGTGTCTGGGAAGTATGCCAGAGGAGGATCCTTTAAAGGTTGCTTAAGAGACCTGAAAGCCAATTCAGAAAAGAAATCGCTAAAGAATGTTCTTGTAACAAAGGACATTTCAGCTGGATGTGAAACAGAAAGTGCTTTTAATACAAATCTTTCTTTAGAGGTGCCTGTAAAGAACGCTACTGTGAAAGCAGCCCCCACATTTGCCATTTCCCCTGAAAGCCCTCTCTCTCTGGGCAAGGAAGACAAAAGCCACCTTTTAGTTCTAAGTAACTTGGTTGTACTAGAGGGTGGACAAGCTTCACTTGAATCTGAGCATATTAAAGTCAACTTAGACTTTCAGAAATTAGGAATTCATCAGTCACAAATTCTTTTTGAAATAAAGGAACCACCCTCTCATGGAGACTTGAAACTAGGTGTTGAACCAGCACAAGAAGTAAATACATTTACTATGCAGGATGTGTGGCAAGGGAAGGTTCTTTATGTCCATGATGGCTCTGAGGGCACTTACGATTATTTTAATTTCTCCATTTCTGCCAGCAGTGAGAAGATTGTTGCTCCATATTTGCAAGGAAATGAGCAGCATGTATTTAGCATTACTGTCACTCCAGTAAATGATGCACCTGAGATCACACTTCCCAAGGGAAACTTGCTTCTTCTCATAGAGAACTCAAAGAAACGTTTGTCTAGTGATCTGATAAAAGTTCTAGATAGGGATACAGATACTGTGGATCTCTGTCTTTCAGTGCTTGGAAATCTGAATGCAGATGCAGGATTTTTAGAAAATTCAAAGCATCCTGGTAAAGCTATTACTACCTTTTCTAATGAAGACTTAAGAGAAGGCACTGTTTTCTTTGTCCACACAGGCGTCAAGAACTCAAGGATTGTTCTGAGAGCAAGTGATGGTGAGAAGGTGAGCAACACTGTTGTGTTACGTGTCATGGCAGTTCCTTTGAATTACAGAATTGTCAACAACTCAGGAATAAAACTACTCCAAGGTGTTACAGCTCTGATCACACCTAGGCATCTGGCAGTTGAAACAAATGCCAGCCTTCAGGAGCTGGAGATACGATATGAGATCACAGAAGCACCCCAATTTGGGGAGGTCCAAAGGCAGCATTCAAGGGGGGAATGGAAGCAAGTCAACTCTTTTTCTCAACGCTCTGTTCAGCGCAGTCGTGTGAGATACTGTAGCACTTATAAAGAAATTCAGCTGGAAAACGTTACTGACCAATTTAAATTCAAAGTTAGCATAGGAAACAGAATGAGTGAAGAGCACGTGTTTCCGATCAAAGTGAAATGGTTAAGGTACAGTTTATTGAAACATACTCCTCTAGAAATTGAAAAATCAAAAAATAATTACTTGAATTCAGATAATCTCTTTGCTGTGCTTGTGGGTGTAGAAATACCTGAAGATGAACTTCATTTTAAATTGCTGACCCTACCAAAGCATGGACAGATACTGCTTAATGACCAGCCTTTGAAAAAAGATTCAGTCTTTAGCCAGAAAGATATTACTGATCAAAAAGTGGCATATGAATTAATCAGCAGATACCATGAAGACAACCGTGATTCATTTAGATTCCTCATTTCTACAAAGTATCTGGAATCAACTTTATATGACTTTGAAGTCTACATCAAATCAGATTTCAGAAACATTATTTTGACTAACAATGGCCTGACTGTTACTGAAGGTGAAGGAGAGTTAATAACAAGCACAAAATTGTTTGTACGAACACTGGATAAGAAAACTTTCCAATATAAAGTTACACAGTTTCCGAAGCATGGGAAATTAAAACTCATTAATTTTTCAGGCTCATTCGAGAGTAATGATAATCTCACCACTTTCACTAATACAGATATAACTGATAAGCGCCTTATATATGTGCATGATGATTCTGAGACAGTGTTTGATGAATTTCTTGTCAGAGCTTCCAGTGAAGATCCAGAAGTAGAACCTTTGTCAGTAGAAATTAAATTCAACATTTCTGTCCAGCTGAAGAATGATGAAAAACCAGTACGTGTAATTGATAAGATATTTAACATTGTGAGAAATGGGCAGCGATTATTAACATTGGCAGATCTTTGCTATCATGATCCTGATTTGGATTTTGATGATGGACAATTGCTATATACTAGACGTGGCATTTCCAATGGGGATTTGGTGCTAACAAATGATACTTTGCACAGACTCTACCAGTTCAAACAAGTGGATCTGGAGCAAAAGCAAGTACTGTTTATACACCATGGTGCAGATTTTGGGCGTTTCGTGCTCTTTGTGACAGATGGCAAGCACTATACCTCTTCACTTCTAGAAGTTAATGCCACTGATCCATATGTTAGGTTGGCAAATAATACAGGCTTGTTGATTCAAAAGGGGAAAGAGGAAGCTCTTACCACAGCTAACCTAAGTGCTATTACAAACCAAGACATAAGAAGTGATCACGAGCTTACATATGAGATACTATCTTTCCCAAAATATGGAAGAATATATGTAAATAATCTATTGATGGATTCCTTTACTCAACTTGATCTGATAAAGGGGTATGTGACCTACAGGCATGATGACAGCAACAACCTTATTGACATGTTTAACTTTACCGTCCATGCTAGAGATGCCCATCTGGATGCTGGAGTGCATGTTCGCATATATTTGGAAAGTCATCAGTGGCCACCAAGAATTGTGAACAAAAACAATCTCTTGGTTGAAGAAGGAAAACCAGTTAAAATCAGTAAAGGAAAACTGCAAGTAAGTTAACTGTGTTGTCTGTTTCTCCATCCTTGCAGCAGGTTTTCTTCACTGCTTTCTCAGCCATTGCAGTGTCTTTAGTCTGTCTTCTCTTTAACTGCTTTTAGTTTGACTAACATGACTGCATTCTGGATGCTTAATTTTGGAGAGACCAACACTAGCAAGCTTCCATTTCTAGAAGGGAAAACTGGTTATGTTCAGGAAAAAGGCTGCCCATAGTCTTTGACTCCTTTACATATTGGTGCCTGAGGAAGTTAAGATTTGGAAATGGTACATCTGTATATTTGTTTGAGTTGTGACAATTGTTGGTACTTCGTGTATCGTTCTTAGTTGAGTTGGTGGGAAATGCCAAGAAGGACAGTGTTTTGTTTCATTCAGTTTGGAGCTAGCCCAATTAACACTGTCTGAGGGTTGCATCCAGAATTTTTAAAACATTGAGTTACAAACCTGAAGTTGCTTCCCTTTGGTTAATGTTTTCCTTCCCATTGTTTGTGTGTAGCCTCTCAGTAACTACTGGCAGCACATTGCTATGCTGCTGAAATCCTTGTTTCAGGCAGGGGTCTGCAGTTCTTAGGCTATTAGTTAATTGCACAGTGTGTTCCTTTTCAAATTTACAAAGCATTTTTGGGGTTACAAAACACTCCCATGCCATGTTTATTTAACATGACTACGTGAAGTATTTTATTGTATTTATTGTATTGTATTGTATTAGGAACTGTGTAACCCAGCTAAGGAATGCCAAGTAATTAGGTAGACAATCCCAGGGTTAAAAGTGAAAAATTCAGAAGAATTACAGAATTTCTCCCGTTTCTGTTCAAATAATTTTGGGGTATGTTTTTAAATTTAAGGTTGTTCATGAAAACAGTTCTCCATCTGAGATTGTGTTCACAGTAAGACAGCTTCCAGTACATGGATACATTCGGAAGTTTTCCTCAGAAGAGAGTTATCTTGGTGCTGACCAAAGGCCAGTTTTGAGCTTCACACAGCAAGATGTTGATGAAGGCAAAGTTCAGTATGTGCAGACAGTTTCTGACCAACTAGATGACCGTTTTTCTCTGGATGTGACCAACGGTGTCCAAACAGTGAGTGGAATAGAGATCTCTGTAGACATCATCCCCAGAATGATTCCACTGGAAGTACAGAACTTCACAGTAATTGAAGGGGGCTCCAAAGCACTGGTGGAAGACTATCTAAAAATTTCTAGTAGACACTTTGCAGGACTCAGCTGTGAATTTATTTTAATTGAGCAGCCAAAACATGGGTATGTTGAAAACTCTCATGTTCCTGGAATAAAGTTAACCACATTTACCAGAAAACAGGTAATGCATTTAGATTTGCTTTGCTGTAGACATGATTAATTCTTTGTATTGCTAAAAGCTATGGGACGATTTTGTGGGAGGTAGTGACTTGCATGAATTTGAGCTTTATTCTGGCCTCATAACAAAGATCCTTCTGCAGTTGCTAGCTGGTTATTTATGGGGAGGGAGGGTGCCTTGTAGTGAGCCACATCACTTCCTTATGTGCCACTGGTCATACAGACTAGTGTGCTGTAATCACAGTAGACTGATGGCTGCTCACACTCATGCAGAGTTGTAGATACTTTGAAAACCTAAGACAGACAAACTGTGGGTACATTTTGAAAAGACCAGAGGAAATGGTGTGTATATTGAACAAGGAAGAAAGTAGAAAAAATTTTTTTGTTTAGATCTTGTCTTTGCTCACAGAGAACCAGAGCAAGATAAGCTAATTTTCAGTCTTGTAGTCTAAGAAGTGAAACTATATCCTAAGTCACCATCTACTAACTCTATGTTCAGTTTATAGATTCCAGGAAACATTGTGGTAAGTACAGCAGGATTGGATTTTCCATTTTCCCTTCAGAAGGAAGGGGGAAAGCCAAGACTGGCAAGTTATGATATTTTGGCTAGAGGAATGGACAGATGAGGTGTAAAATTTGCTGCTGTGGACAGAACAAAGATAGAGGTACTGATCAGATATGAGCATAAATAAAGTCTTAGAAGTCATAAAAATTTGAGGCAATAAATACAGAGGGCCATGACTAGATAATATTTTTGGGTTTTTTAATGTGGCATTCATTTTATTTTAGCCTTTTTAATGTTTCAGGTTGTTATTTTTTTCAGGTGGAAGAAGAATTAATCTACTATGTTCATGATGACAGCGAGGAACCGATGGACAATTTTACCGTGATAGTAAATAACACGGAACTCTGGAAACAAAGCTTGCCACAAACTGTTTTTGTAACAGTTACTGCAGTAAATGATGAATCTCCTGTTATAAAAGTTAACAGAATTCTTCAGGTATGTTTGTCAATATTTTGACATGTTAAAGTTACTTCTAACCTCATACTGTTTAATACACCTTCATTAACAGAATGTCAGGTTTGTGTCTGGTGGGATAGTCAGTGTAATAAATGGCAGTCTTAGGATTTAAATAAATTAATGTTAATGAAGGGAGGCAGTACATGGGTAATGTTGGTTTAGGAAGATTCTAGACATAATGAAGAACATTTTCTGCTGTTGTAATGTTTATCTAGAAGGCTGACTGAGCTTTCTTTTAATCTTAAAGATACATGAAATCTCTTGGACTGACATAGAGCTTGTGGGGTGTGATGGCTTGCACCTGGATCATTGTTGTGTTTTAGTGTTGTTTGCTAGGGCATCTTGAGGGCTGTTTATGAACAGTGTAGCTTAGAAGAGTACCAAAGGTAGTCATGATGAAGTTACCTTTGCACAGCCTTCAAACCCTATGCCTCTTGTCATTAAGTATACCAAAGGGTCAGACCTGCTGATAGGTATTCTGCTGCCTGCTCCTCTCTGGATCCCCAGTGGGACGGGACGAGAGAAGAGAGCAGCATTCTCACTGACACTTCATTAGAGAATTACTACATGTTGGGTATTTCTGATACAAAGCAGGAGTATTCCCTTCTTTAAAAGTTCCTGGTAAGAATAATACAATGGAATCCTTGAAAATCTAGGATGTTAGAGGTCATCAAAATATTAGGACAGATTGAAGCTATTACTGTGTGATACTGTGAGATAAAAAAAGGATATGCTAACTTGCTTCTAACTCTGCCACGCCCAAATTCCTGAAGAAAATTTTAAATTGTTGACTGATGCTACCATTTGCTCTTAATAATCATAGCTGGCTTTTTAATCTTTTAATCTTCTGATCTTTGAAAAAAGTCATTACCGTCACTTCAGTTTCTGTGTTTTTTCAAATTAATTAATTAATTATTTATAGGATTGTTATTTGTGTTATAATAGCACTCAGAACCAGAACCAATTTATTATGGGCACTGTGCCCAAGTAAACCAAAAAGCCTCTGTGTGTAAGGCTTCCAGTCTGAGATCTGATTGGTAAAAACAAATTAGGTGACTCTGAAAAGCAGAATGGAGTGGGTATAGGTCAGCTGATGAACCTGTGGTCACAGTAAACCAGCTAAGAGGCATAAAGACAGAGAAGATATTTAGGAATAGGTTTGAAAGAAGCTAAGCAGGGTATTTTGAGGCTACATCATCCCCAGTGCTTTATGGTACAGTTTACACATTGATGGCACCTAAAACATGTTTAATTTTACCTAGTTAGTTGTGTGTTGCAGAGGGAGAATGGGTTACTATAAAGATAATCAACCTTGTGTTGGGTATTTAGCCTTTTCACATGAGAAAAGACAATTTTTAAACAGTGGTAGTGGTAGTATTATGCATCTTTGCAGTGACAGCAGGTAATCCATGATAATTTGCAGATGCCCTGTGCAGAGACTGCTGTCAGAAGGGCTGGCTCACTTCATAAGCATTCGGGTGGTACAGAGTAATACTTTACCTGGTTCAAGTAATTACAGTGGTACTCTACACACATGAGCAGAGCACACAATAATGTTTGTCTAGTCACAGACAAGAGGGATATATGTCCAGTCAGAAATTTTTCGGTGTCTCCCTTTTGGTGCATTGCTGGCATTGAACTGCAGTCTGTTAACAGAACTGACTGAGGTCGTGCAGTGCACTGCAGTGCAGCATATGGATTTTTTCTAAAAATATCTGTAAGTCTGTGCTTCCCAAGAGCAATGATAACAGAGCTTAACCTAGCCAAAGTTGATCCTCTCTGCTGGGGAGGCAGTTTGCATACCCAGAACCAGGGTGCTGCCTTTGTGCCTCTGATTTTGTTGGTCATGCATAAGCTATCATTGAGGAATAACCTTTATTATATTGTCATAAGTGGGTACTAATATGCACACATATGTTGGATTCATGTGCAGACTGAAACAAAGCTGGAAGTAAAGTTAAATACTGGGAGAAAAGCATGGAGATGATCCTTCTTCAGAGCAACTGTGCACATCTCAAGTAGGTGGGAGGAAATGGATTTTTCTTAGCCCTGCTAGATATTGAGATGAGCCAGGCATTCATTTGTAGGGTGATACTTACTGGCTCCATGTTCTAGCCAAGCAGTCTATGCTCCTCAAGGACATTGCTGGTGGTGAATGTTGAGTAATAAATGTGTGTTGCTTTATATCTTTTGAAAGGTTGGAAAAGTACAAATCACTATCCTGGCATTATTTGCTATATTTATATATGTGTTAAAATATATTTATTGGTAGTGATGCTCTGAAATGACTGTATCCTCCTGTTGCCACAAGAGGGCTGTATTTTCCTAGAGTTAGATAAAAAAAAATATATTTCAAACACTTTTTTTGTTTGTTTTCTTTAAATGGCTCACCAGAGTATGAAAATGGCCATGACTATAGAGTGTTTCGTGGAATATATAACAGGCAAGGAGACACTGAGAAGCACTGCAAGTAGAGCAGAAGAAAATCTTTCCTGTTGGGCAAGGTCATGAACCTCTTTTTGGGCCATGCCTGTGAAACGTGTTAGGTACTTGCAAAATTAGTGTCATGCTACATCCTGGAAGTTCAGGTACAGTTTTTATGGTGGTCTTCAAGGACAACGTAGTCCCAGATCTGGAAAATAAGATACTTGTACAGTATTTGCAGTAGTCTGAGTGTCCACATCTCTGCAGCTATTTTCAGCTGTTGGATCTCCTTTCATTCCTCAAGGATCATGTTGCAGGTGTCATGTACAGTACTTCAGAAGCATTGTGTGTAGTGTGCTGGAACAATAGAAATAAACACTGGCTTTACCTCATTTTTTCCTTTAGTAAGAAAAAGCTCATTTTTTCCTTTAGTAAGAGAAATTTCAAAACTCTAGGACATTTAATGAATCATTGTTAATAATATGTTTGCACAGTCCCTTCTTATTCTGTATGTTTGCATGTTCTGTGTGTGACCTTTTATTTTCTGTGTAGAATAATCTGAATCAAGTGCTACTCAGTTGAGTTAAAGGCTCTCAGTACAGAACAATGTACTCAGTACAGAACAGTGTACTTAGTACAGTGTTTGCTATTAGTTATCATTCTGTGTATTCACAGGTGGTTTCTTTTATCAAACTTTAATAATATTAATCAAATTACAGAGAAATGCATATTTCAGGGGAGAAAATAACTATTTCCTGGTTGCAAGATGTTTGCTGTTATAAAATGTAACACAGCTTCTTTTTCAATCTTTTTTTTTCTAATTAGAAAACACATAATAATTTTATTTTAGTATCTGTTTTTCCATGGCACATATTTTGTGACACAATGTAATCTGAAATCTTTCCCCTATTGAAGTGTCATGGCAAAAATCCCAATTGTTTTAAAAGGTTTTCTTCCATGATTTTTATTAAAAAATAAAATTAATACTTAGGGAAAAATCTGTGATCGCTGATTTTTGGGTTTGGCAGAGGTAAAAGCCCTTTGTCAAGGATCATGTTTCCTCTTCAACCATTTGGTGTGATGTTACTACCAGATATGTTTTAAGTGTACTGAGACCCTAGGAAGACAGGAAGAGATGATGCAGTCCTTTCTGCTTGAAAGAAGGATCTTGCAGTTTGTGCATCTCTTAAGCTAAAAAAAAAATAATTTAGATTTACTAGAATTAAGTAATGGGTTTTATACCATCTTTCTAAAAACTAGTTAGCTTGACCTTGTATTGCAAAGTGCCAGGCAGCTGTTGGAAGTGGTGATTCCTTCATCTCTCACTGGACTGAGCACCTCCATGGGTTGTTTGGTGCACTAAAGGATCTTTAGTGTGTGTTGCTAGAAGGAAATAATGCAGCTACAAGACGTGTTCCACTTGTATTAGAGATTGTGCTGTCCCCAGGCTGGTTTTTTTCTTTTCTGCTGGTGAAAGTAGAGCATATTGAGTGTCTTGCGTGCTGTGAAGTACACAACACTGATATTCATGTGTATGTCTTGGAAAGGAACTCCTTGACTCAGTTATCATAATAAAATTTTGTTATGTTTGTAAGAGTTTGGATAGTGCCTGACAAAAAGAGCACTCATGCTGCAGCTGTCTAAAGCTCAAACTGGTATAGGGTATTTTTGTTTGTATTATTTTGTGGTCTTGTTTTTTGAAAACCATTTGCCAACACTAACTATTCCAGTCCATGATCAGAGATTTGGGTGGATAGTAAGGAAACCTGTCATAACTGCTAGTGTTGCATAGCACAACTATTTACTTTTTATTTGAGTATTTTTTCCTCCTGATTTTCTTTTGTATGCATTTTATTTATTACTATTATTTTTTATTTTTGCTTTTCTAGATCTGGGTGAGTTCAGTCACAGAAATAACTATTGATGACCTCTGTGCAGAAGACAAGGACTCCTCACCATCAGAACTGATATATGCCATTACTCCACCGAGCAATGGGCACTTGGCTCTGAAGCCTTTTCTAAACAAGAGCATCCTTAGTTTCACCCAAGCTCATATAATTGAAGGGCAGCTGGTATTTGTACACAATGGTATGTGGTTTCAAAAATACCACCTCTGTTACCAAAATGCTGCTCCTATTCAGTATATTTCTGTTTGTATTCCTTTGAAGATCTCCTTGTAATGTCACAAAAATCTCAGAGCACTGGTTATGTGATACATGATCTCACAAACTAAACAGGAAGGCATCTGATAACTACTTAAATGTGTGCTCACCAAGAAACCATGGTCTATTAGTGGTTCAGTTGGTAACAGCTGTCTTTTGGAATGCAAGTTTTTGCAGTAGGGGAATGTTGCCATGCAGCTTTTGGAGATATGAAACCCATTTTTTTGACCATTGTCATTGAGAATCTCCTGAAGTCTTTCTGTCTTGCTACAGTGCAGAGCTATTCATGGACCAGCAGTCTCTCAGATACCTACCACAGTGTAGTTGTGTTGCTGAGCAGCTCTGGGAAATGAAGTTGTGCTTCATCTGAGTGAGATCAACCTCCCTTTCAGACTGTGACAGAATTCAGCTTTAACCATTGACTTTTCTGCTGGTGGCCAGAGCTAGAGATCAGATTATTTGTGCTGTTGCTACAGAGAGAATGCATGGGCAATATAAATAGGTGTCAGGGCAGCTTCATGCATCCTTGAGTGGCAGTGCTTGGAAGCCACAGGAATGAACATCTCAGCGGGGTTCCAGCTGGAGGAAGAGGTGAGGGCAATAGCTGCTTTTCTTTCTCCAGCTCTATTAACATGTTACCTGAGCTGAAGAAAGAGGTGCGAAAGAAGGAATGAACCCGTTTTGGGGAAGGAGATAGAAGAGGTACAGCACTCTTTTGCCAGCCTCAAGGCAGGCTGGAATTATTTCCAGTGATCCCTTGGGTGCAGTGGTCACTCGAGATCTATGCTCTGTCTTCATATGGCTTGGTGCAGGTTACAGTGCTCCAGCTTCCAATGTGCTGTCTTGCAGGGTGCATGTGCATTGCTGAAATTGCTTTACAGGCAGCTGGTGGTGAGCTGTAAGTATCCCGCTCAATCGTCAGGAAATGAAACGTTAACAGCACGGTAGAAGTGAGGCAAGCTGTTTTAAGTTGTTCCGAAGGAGACTTTGACTTTTAAAAACCCTGTGGTGGTATGATTGTGGTAGTCTCAGTGTGAGGAAGTGAACCCACTCTGTGTTCCAGAAAGGGCAAATGCACATCTGTAGTCTTAGGAAGAGAATCTTGATTAATGAAAGTAAAAAGAACAACAAATTTTATTTTCCAGTGAGTGGGAGTATGGGCTGTACAGTAAATCTGAAATATAAAATTGCCCAGGTCATATGTCAGTTCCAGCTGCTCTGGCTCTGCCATCTGCTTAGCCTCATGGCCTCCAGTGTTTCAGAAAGCACTTTGGACATTTTGCTTCTTTTCCTTTCTCAGCCTGTGATTTTCTTTCCTCCTTCATCTTGAACTGTTGCTAGAAGTGTACTTGTTACTCTCATCTTCTTGGTCATAGCCTTGTCCTGAGCCTTCCCTTATCTGGTTGCTGCCATTCAGCTTTTTACTCCTTTTCTCTTCAGCAGCTCTGTCCCTTGTCTCAGTCTTATAGTGTATGCTAGCTTCTTTGGCTCGTCCTGGGAAGTACCCCCACTTCATGTTCTCCACAGCCTGGCATCTGCTCTCCCTGCTGACTTTCCAAGGAGAAGACCAGCATTGTCTAGGCTGAGGGAGTTCTTCCATCCCTTGGCTGGTCCTCATGGCACCACAGTCTTTTACATCTGTTCATGGCAGTGACTCTCCATCCTCAGGGTCTTTTGTACTGCCAAAGAAAGTACTACCATACTTTTCTTTTATACATCTAACATTAAACCATATAAAGATTTCATCTTTGCTCAGTCTTACGAGTTACATTACACTGCTTATTCTGTGCTGTTATGAATCTGCCTCTTTGTTTTCATGTCTTCTCAAATACTGTGTTTGTTTCCTCTGTAATCCCCAACTATTCTCTCACCAGTGTACATGCAGAACCAGAACTTACCTTTCCTTTTCTGTGCTCTTCTTTTAGTGTGAGAATTCCTTCCCTTTTTCTCTCTCACATTACTCCAGGTGCTCCCATCCTGCTTTCACATTATGGGGTCTGCCCTTAAACCCTGCCAGTATTTTCCTTAGTGCAGTACTGAATTGAACTCTTGTAGATTCTGAAGTCTCAGTGTCTTTTCAGTGCAGTTTTTACATTCCTTTCTCTGGTGTCCTTTTTGTCACCTCCTATCAGATGCACCTTTAAAAATTGCATGTGCTAAAATAATATATGCTTCACCCAAGCAGCACTTCAGGGACTAATCCTGTTCCTGACCTGTGTCAATTGAGCAATTGACCTGTATTAGCAAAAAAAGCAAGTGAAGCTAAGTAAGCCTTTTTTTTTTTTTTTTTCAAACTGAAGCAAATAATAGACTCGATGCCTTTTTAAATGTGCAACTAGTGCATTTTTATCAAAAGAAAACATCAGAGAATAAAAGCTTTTAAAATAAAAACAATATAACCTGGTCTTCCAGAGAGTCTGCAGTCCCCACCTTTATATAAGAGCATTGCCTTGGGGAGTTGTTAACTATAATCTCAGAACCCACATTTTATTCTTCTGATATGTTAATTTATAGTTAGGCAAGGAGTGCTGATCTTTATGTGAAAGTACATGACACCCTCTCAGGTTATGTATTTATGTAGCAATGTCGGCTAGATTAGGCAAAGAAAGTAGAAGAGCATTGGTAAAGGTTTGCAACAGTTAATGTTACAATTTATCATTCTCTTTTTCTACCTGATTAATCTGGGGAGCCTCTACTTAAAGCAGTAAAAAAGAAAGATGTATTTTTACAGGAATCCACTCAGACTTCTGGAGGTATTTTGCAATTGCTTGTGACAAAGTACATACACATCCTAAGATTAAAGATAAAAAATGTGCATTTATTAGGAGTACACATAACCTCTGAATTTGTTTAAGCTGTGACAACATACACTCTTCAGCAAAGCTAAGGTGGAGCAAAGAGGCAGAGGAAACAACCTGAGAGTCAATTCAGTCTTTTAAATGTAAATCAAAATGAAAGAACATTCTGATTGTTTTTCTCCCTAGACTCCTTCTTTGCCACAAAGTGACTGCTTCAGTTCTTTGGTTCCTCCTACGATATAAAAGGAGTCAGAAATCTGGGAGTCATTGACTCCCCAAGTGTGCATTGGCTTCAACTCCACTGAGATCACTGAAGAAAAAAGGAAGGGGCAGTCTGCTGGTTGACATCTAAGGGATGTCTGGCCTTCATTGTGAACAACAGCCAGTAGTTCTTCCTTGGAAAGGTGTTCTCAGCATTATTAATTTCTTCTAATTAAGATTCAAAGGTATTATCAGAAATTGCTTCAGGATGACTTGCATGTATTTCACTGTAGCAAGAACAAAAGGTGTCCAGTGTATGTTTGTATGTTTTGAATGACAAACAGAATAATGCAAGAATAAATGTATGGGTTTTTTTTCTACAGGAGCAATGTCTGGAGGCTTCAACTTTCAGGTAACAGATGGTTTGAACTTTGCACCTCGACAGATTTTTAGCATCACAGCTAGGACACTAATCATTAGCCTTGAAGTGAACAAAGGACTCGGAGTTTTTCCAGGTCTGTTTTTAAAGATTGTCATGATTTTGTCCACTTGAAAAAATTGAATAATATACAGTTATTTGTTAGATAGCTAGCTGGCTAAACTATAGAAAACTGTACCTGGGAACATCTATCTGTCTGATTTTTAAAAAAACAGTTATGTTTCATCAAACAACATACTGCTTTATTGTTTTATAGTATTATTTTTGATATGTGCATGTGCTTGGAGTCATGGAAATTGGCAGAGAAATACATAAGCACAGTGTGACAATAACACTGTCTGCCTAAGATCTGAACATTCCTCACTCAGATTTGTTTAAAAGCTCTATATTATATTCATATTATTTAGAGGTGTCTTAGCTGATTGTGATTTTGCTTGGTAAAAGCAGAGTGAAGCTTGTGTCTGTGGGACTCTGAATAGCACACGTAAACTTGCTAGATTGCTAGTTCACTTTCTTATTGTCTGAGTTGAGTTTTGGAGAGTGGCACAGACTCACTGATGAAAGAGAAAGACTGGAGACTTTGATTCGTGTTTGTGCATTTGGAACTAGTTGGATCAGCAGCTGAGTAATTTCTAATGAAATCTCCTATTCCTGCGGGAGTTGATATATTAAGACAGTCTCATCAGAGCCATTTACTGCTTTGCACTGGCAAAAGTAATCCTTCATTGGATTAGTAATCTAACATTAATTGCAGGATTAAAGGGAGAAATGAAGATCAGTCTTCTCTCGGCAATGTCTTGCATCACACTTTTGTTTGTGCTACCACCTTTTTGAGCTGAACGTGATCCATAGGCAGAGAGAGATTGAGAATTGGTAAATTTCTATAGGAGTGATTCTGTACCTTGATTTATTAATTTGATACAGAAGAGGAGCACTTCAGTTTCTTAAACTTCCTGAATGTAAGATGCATAAACAAAGGCTTGCAACAAAAGCCACTTAAACAGAGGCAATGAAACATGAGATCGTAGCAGCATGATTTTCTGATTCAGTCAATATAAATGGGATTCATGTAAATCCATTTACAGAGTTTATTAATCTCGGATTCTGGTGTGTAAATTTGCCTCAGGCACAGGGATTTACAGGAATTCTATCATAAGACAAAGATAATAGTAAGAAATGTTTGCATGATACTTCATAGAAGGCAAAGTCTCTAGACTGTCAATCAGTTTTGCAGTGTGCAAAATGCAGTATTTCTTTCAGCACTGCAAGCTGCATTCATCTAAGCCTACAGTTTTTCCTAAATTCTTGCTTACTTTTGGTTAGCAAAATTCCATTTTGGTGTTAAAAAGTATTACTAGCTTTTTCATCTGTTCTCTTTATGATACTTTTAAAAGACATTCTAAAGCTGTATGGGTTTCAGCTGTACTTTCTCATCATGAAATGACTGTTATAACAATGATGGTGCCAAATGGTTAATACACATAAAAGGAATAGCCTGTGTCCTGTTATATTTTGTAGCACTACAAGAAAAGTTAATTTTGAGGCAACTTGAAGAATCTTCTCTCTAGGGAAGTAGAAATTGAATATATTGTGAAGAATTTGTCATATCTTCATGACTGGGTGTAAACTATTCTCTTAATCATATTGTTCTGCAATTTTGTAAGAGCATGTACTGCTGTCTTCTTTTGTGTTGGATATACCAGGTTTGTTTATACAATTTATGGATTATTTTCTGTTCATCAGAAGCTTGTTTTATTCAGCTTGCTCAGCAAATTGACTGCTAGATACTTGAGGTTTTTCTTACGTATGTTAGATATCTACAATGTGAGGATTTGCTTTTTTCAGGGAAGCAAATGCTTAAAAAAAGGAATGAGCTAATTTGTTCTTTGAAAAGGAGAGGCAGCCCGACTTGCAGGTATTCAGAAGCAGAGCTGTCTGAACAATCAGTAGATGAGATGATTCATAACTGTTTAGCAGTGATAGGCAGAATGCTCATGCCAAAGCACTTTACAAATCTTAAATCTTAACTGACGTTATCTGCCTTGACTTGTGCAAACCTTTTGATGCTGTTCTGCACAACATCCTTGTCTGTAAACTGGAGAGCCATGGATTTGATGGATGGACCACTCGGTGGATAAGGAATTGCCTGGATGGTCACACTCAAAGAATTGAGGCCAATGGCTCAATATCCAAATGGGGAGCAGTGATGAGTGGTGTTCCTCAGGGACTGGTGTTGGTACCAGTGTTGTTTAACATCTTCATTGGCAACATGGACAGTGAGATTGAGCGCACCCTCAGCAGTTTGCCAGTGACACCAAGCTGTGTGGTGTGGCTGACACAATGGAGGGAAGGGATGTGCCATCCAGAGGGACCTGGACAGGCTGGAGAGGTGGGCCCATGAAAAACTCATGAAGTTCAACAAGGCCAATGCAAGGTCCTGCCCATGGGCCTGGGCAGTCCCAAGCACAAATACAGGCTGGGCGATGAGCAGATTGAGAGCAGCCCTGAGGAGAAGGAGGTATTACTGGCTGGAAAACCTAGTATGAGCCATTAGTGTATGCTTGCAGCCCAGAAAGCAAACCAAACTCTGGGCTGCATCAAGAGAAGTTTGACCAGCAGGTTGAGGGAGGTGATTCTTCCCCTCTATTCTGCTCTCATGAGACCCCACCTGCAGTGCTGTGTCCTGCTCTGGAACGCCCAACACAAGAAAGACATGGACCTGCTTGAGTGGGTCCAGAGGAGGACCACAAAGATGATCAGGGGGCTGGAGAACCTTCCCTGTGAGGACAGGCTGAGAGAGTTGGGGTTGTTCAACCTGGAGAAGAGAAGGCTCCAGGGAGACCTTATAGCGGCCTTCCAGTACTTAAAGGGGCTACAGGAAAGATGGGGAGGGATACTTTATCAGGGAGTATAGGGTTAGGATGAGGGATGTGGTTTTAAACTGAAAGAGGGTAGATTTAGATTAGATCTAAGGAAGAAATTCTTCACTGTGAGGGTGGTGAGACACTGTAACATGTTGCCCAGAGAAGCTGTGGCTGCCCCCTCCCTGGCAGTGTTCCAGGCCAGGTTGGATGGGACTTTGAGCAACCTGGGCTAGTGGAAGGTGTCCCTGCCCATGGAAGGGGGTTAGAACTAGATGATCTTTAAGGTCCCTTCCAAACCAAACCATTCTGTGATTCTATGTAGGCAGTAAAAATGTGTATCAGTATTATTAGGTACCAATGATGGCCTTATGCTGTTGCATTCTACTTGTATGGATTAGCTTGACCCTATTCTACATCACCCATACTTGTATGTCTTACTCCCCTCTCTCCCTTCCTTTCCCCTGCGTTTGAGTGGAGTTTGTTTTGTGACCTCTGTGCTCACATCTTTGGGAACAAGCAGACAGTGTTCTCACTTCCCTTTTTCTTCACCAAGTCTGTTGGCTGGCAAATAACCTTACTCTCCCTGTTGAGGTGTCAGACTAGAGCAGAACCAGTGTGGGTGCTGGAGAAGGTTCTCAAGTCTCAGGACAGATGTGGGTGAAGGAGAAGTTTATGTTGGGGGAGCATCTGATTTTACAGGACAGCATGAAAGACTTTATTGTCTGTAGCCCTAGACTGCCTGTGCTGTGCAGTGAGAGAGTTCAGGTCTATTATGAGCAAACAGGGACTTCGTGGCACACATTCTCTCCTCCCATGTCTCTGCACTGTGATGGTGGTGGTACGACAACCTGGTATGGTTATGACTACAGTGTGACCATGCTTGGCAGTTACTCTTTCTTACTCTGTTAAGGCAATGAGGCCTGATTTGCCTAAGTTGGAGGTTACTGAGAAATAACTGTGTTTGCAGATACACGTGGTCTGGTTAACTGCTGCTCTGAGTTGTACATTCTTGACCACATCTGCTGTACACACAACATAAGGTCATGCTTCCCTTTCTGCCTGTTACACAAAAAACAGAAGAGAGAGGAGGAGGGAGACTTCTTGAATTAGATATAGTGTGAGAGAATATTTCTAGACCTGAGAGACTGCTTCTTTTCAAAGCAGTATGGACACAAAGAGGCATGGGAAGTTAAAATGGGGAAAACAGGCAGAGCCAGGAGGTCTCATTTTATTATAACAACTCTGTTTCAAAGTACATGTGGTTTGAACCAGGGCATTACTACATGTAAACAGACAGAATCCTGGTGTTACTAATGGCTTGCAAAACATCCCCATTCTTCAGTTTGCTTACCATATTTTTTTCTTCTGAATGTTATAGTAGAAACATGTTATTTTGTGTTATTCCTGTATAAACATTATGCTTTATTGAAGATGGGTTGGTAATGCAGAGTTCAAGGATATATACTGCTAATATCTGAAATTATATATTGATACCTATAAAAGCTTGTTGCTCAAGAAGGAAAGAAAATGTAAAAATAGAGGCAGAAGTGGGGGCAGAGGGAATAAGATTATGGGAATCTATTCTCCTCCAAAAGTATCAAACATGAGATTTAGTTTGCTGAGTGTGTACCATGAAACAGTGCATCAAAAAGAAGCCAAATAGTACTACTTTTCTTTTTTAGGAAATTACTAGGTTTGGTTTTGTCAGAGCTATGTCAAAAACTGTCTTGGTTTGACTAAATGCCAGAAAGCTTTTTATAATATTTAAGTCAGAAGGTACTGGTTAGCGTGGTGCTATGTTTTAAAGGGATTTTGTTACTCCTCACTCTCCATACATCTTAATACTACATTATTTCAGTTCAGGATATTGTTCCTGTTGTGTGGTGTTCTTCCTAATTAGTTTAATTTGGTATTTATGGTTTAATTTCATATAATGAAAAACATCTTTCATATTGATAAAGTGTGGTTCAAGCTTCTGGTAATAATCAGTTTTGGTTTGTGTGTTCACTAGAAACTTTGCTGTGTTAAGGCTTCTCCTTGCCAAATCACCCTGCCTTCTGTAGGCAGCTGGGATTACCAAAAATGTTAACAATGGCGGCTCCAGCTGGAGTTTGAATTCAGTTCTAGACATGTCATATAGGAACAGGGCATCTTATACATGCTCTATTCCTTACTTGGGTTTGGTTTTTTTTCTGCTTTTTGCAGAAGCTAGTATTTATTGATTACATGTGCTAAAGAGAACTGCATTTTTTTTCATTTGTAAAATAAAGGTACATCCTAATGATGGGCTTTTTGATTGAAAAAGCTGTAGAAGAGTTGTAACTAGAAGATAAATAGAAAAAGTGCAAACCTGCTGATCTTATGTTATTAAAATGATAAGTAGAATACCTAGAGGAGAGTGTGAGTTGTGTATATAAAACTTGCCCTTTTAGAAAAATTTCTGTTGCATATTTATGTTATTTACAATGGACATTTTTTAGGTTCCAGGAAACCTATTTCACGACATGATCTGAAAGCTGTAACCAGTGATGTGACCAATGCAGGAAACCGAACTATAACTTTTATGATTGTAACCTCCCCAAAGCTTGGAAGGCTGATCAGAGTAAATTCTGATAATACCACTCAGGAAATCCTCAGTTTTACGCAGTCTATGGTAAGCCTTTTTTATAACAACTAGTTTAGGGGTAGAACATTACTTCAAAGGGCATCTCAGTTGCTTGTTCTTTGTCTGATCCATTTGTATCTGTTAAGTAACCAGGCATATGTGACCCATCAGTGCAATTACCCAGATTTGCTATGTCATTAGATATCTGGCATGTAGTAATGAATTCAAGAGGAGCCTTTGTTCCCCTCTGCTTGGATACTAGCAGGGTCTTGGCAATTTCCACTGTTTTGCTTGTAACAGTATTTTTCAAGAAGAGCTGTTCTGGTGCCATTAACCAGCAGTCTGAATTTGGAAGCCTTTAGTTTTTGGCAGAAGGAGTAGCCTTTTGCTCTATGAAAAGTTCAAGTAATAGATTCATTTCAGCTGTACACAGTCCTCATGGATGTCCCCAGGAGGACATTTATGGACTTGATTGGCTGTGATATTAAGTGTCTAAAGAATTTTAACTGTAATATAAGGTCTCATACTTGAATGTCTAAAACGTGGCAGCTCATGTAACTTGATGGAAAACATTCTTTTGCAACGGAAATGATTTATGTCTGTGTGCAGAATCTGAATATAACTGCTTTGTGTGCAGTAAGTTATTCTCAGAAAATCTAAGTGGGGAAGATAAAAGGAGCTTAATCTTCTAACTTTCCCAGAGAAAAAATTAAGAGATAATTTGGTCTTAATCTAAATTTACAGATTTTTAAAGTGGCTGTTTAATTTAGTATATGAAGGAACGAGAAAATCTATTGGCCTGAAATTTAAACTTGGCCAGTCAAACCTGGAAAAAAGGTTGACATTTTAACTTGTCATCAAAATTTGAAACAACCTGAGCAAGGACTGTGATGGAATGAATCTCCACTTAAACTTCATAAATCAAGGTGAACACAGAATGTTTCTCTTAAAACTATGTTCTAATCCAATTATGTTATTGATCTTGTTGCAATCATTGCTGAATTTTGTCTTACATTATGAGGGAGATGAACTGCAAAATGACACCATTCCCTGCTGTTTCTAAAATGTGTGATTTTTATGAGCATTAGATGAAACAGTTGAGCATGTCAGAAAATCTTTCAGCTAAGGTTTTGAAGGGGTTTTTTTTAGCCTATGGATATGATCTTTAAATATATTTATCTGACAGTGCCATGGCAGAACGTGCCACTCTAGACAGCTTTAGTTCTTACTAATGTATAACTAACTTTCCTTTGAACTTTGTAAATCATATAAGGATTTGAGCTGTAAAAATGTGTATGCTTTTATTCTCTGTCAGAGGTATTTGTATTGGCCATTTTCACTTCAAACAGAGCTAAGTGATATATTGCAGGTAGAATTAAGGTATCCTAGCCAGTTTGCTATTTATAGTGGTAGAATATGGGGTATAAAGGAGAAAAAAGAGATCCTAGATAAACATTCACTGTCTAGAATGCTGTAGCCATATGAAGTTAAACGTCAGTGAGAAAATGACATTGTTATTACAAGCATTGTATATTCTCCATGTAATGGAGAATAAGACATTCAATTTCTGTTTGGTAGTAAGCTTGTAAATCTGATTTGAATTGAAAACAAATTGCATTAGTTTACTTCTTTGGGTTTTCATTGGTTTCATTCTGTATTGAGGAACTTGAAATTTCACTTCTGAAAACTACTATGCAGCTAGCTTAAAAAAGTAGTTAGCACTTTTGCTATGATGCTGAACTCTTCCCTATGGCCTCTGGTTTATTGCTTCATTGTCAAAGAAAAAAAGAATTGAAATCACTATTGCATTCCAAGAAATTTTTTCACAGACAGTTGTTGTTCAACCAGTATAACAAAACTAGTTGCCCATTAAACAGACTTGAATGACACAGTATTTTTTGACATAAAGTTTGGGTTTGTTTTTTTTCTCTACCAGTATTTTCCATGGTGTCTTAGAATTTTTCAACTTCCATCAAGCTACAGTTTCATTATATTTAATATCATTACAGAGGGGAGCAAAAAAATTCTCACCAATTCCATTCTCTTCTTAACCCAGATATTAGCATGGGCTTGCAGTTGAAAAGAAACTATTAAGTTTGATACTAAACACTGCTGAATTTAAAGGATGCATATTGTGCCTGCTCTTTCTCCAGCTTAAAGTCCTAGGGGCATGTTTTGAAAAATTATCCTGAACCAACTTATCCTTTCAATATCAGTTTTGTTTGTTTTGTCCTATAATATCCATTAAGAATTAAATCATTATAGGAAAAGCATAAACCTGGAGATGTGCATATAGGATTTTATTACATCAATATGAATATTTTAGACAGTAAGATGGGATGGTTTTGAGGCTGCTGGGAAAACCAAACCTGAAAGCCCTGTTTGCCTAGAGATTTCCGTGGGGGGTGTTGCAGTAATTTCGGTATTGTCCCTCTCTGTAGTCACATCTTAGATTTGATACTTGCTGAAGCTCTTCATCTGTGATAGCAGCAGGGTTTTTTTTTTGTTTTCACACCTTTCAAGCATATTCGATAGGAACCTCTGCTAATGAGTTCCTTCAGGATGTTTTCAAGCTGTGCATAATATGTTACAAAGAGTAAACTTAGAACCATCACCATCTCAGACAGGGATCTCGCTGGCAATTATAAACTACAAATATAAACCAGGTCAGTAGTTGACTGGGAATTGTCAAGGATTTAATAGGTATAGCTGTCTTCTCTTCAAGTCAGTGAGTGAATTATCAAGCAGATCAGACACTGAATCTACTGGATGAGGTTTAAGAAGTGGTCTTGTGGTTACTAGGAATCCTATTACAGTTTCCATGTGTTACGATACTGATCTTAAAGTTTGGGTGTAGTTCCAGCTGATGACAATCCTAGTCTGAAAATACTGCCTTTTGCTTTGGGGCTTGAAGAGATAAATGGCTCTATCTTGTATAAATATGTGTTCATCTGAAGATTTACTGCAGTATTTTGCAGTACTTTGAAGGTTAAATCCTCATGGTATGATGATCTGCAAGGTCAGTGAAAGCAGGTATAGGACAAGCCAGGTTCCTTCCTGTCTCTTAGGAATTCCCTTCTTGCTGTGATGTAGAAATTTTCCACTAAGTAATCCCACCAGCTCTTTGGTTATAAGTGAGAGTCTGTTTCAGTGGTCATCACACCTCCTTTTGGATTCTGTAGTCTCTTATCAAGTATCTTTTCCTCTTCACCAAGAAACACCTGCATCAAAGTCCTTTTCAAGCCTTCCATCTTTTATATGCTTTTTCAGGACAGTGAGTCCAGCCCCACTGGTATCCTTATAAAGAAAAGCCCTAGACATGTGTTGTTCCAATTCGCTAAAGATACAGTCTATCTGAACTCCAGATCACCATTACCATTGCTAGTTTGAGACAAGTTTCCAACGTTTTATATCTCTGTTCTTCACATAAGGCCTTTATTAAGCATTCATGCCTGATAACATTTCACCTACCTTCAAGTAAGCTTGTCTGGCAACACAGAGTCCATCTTAAGAGAAAGAAATGCAAGATAATCTCAATATAAATTCCATACAGGCTGGATTGATGGACCGAGAGCAATTGTATGAGGTTCAGTAAGGCTGAGTGCTGGGTACTGAACTTGGATCACAACAATGCAATGCTACAGGCTTGGCGAGGAGTGACTGGAAAGCTGTCTGGTGGAAAAGGACCAGGGGGTGTTGATTGACATCCGGCTAAATATGAGCCAGCAGTGTGCCCAGGTGGCCAAGAAGGCCAACAGCATCCTGGCTTGTATCAGTAACACTGTGGCCAGCAGGAACAGGGAAGTGATCGTCCCCCTGTACTTGGCACTGGTGAGGCCGCACCTCAAATACAGTCTTCGATTTTCACTACAAGAAAGACATTGAGGGGCAGGAGTGTATCCAAAGTGGAGCAAAAAAGCTGGTGAAGGGTCTAGAGAATAAGTCCTGTGAGGAGCAGCCCAGGGAACTGGGGTTGTTTAACCTGGGGAAAAGGAGGCTGAGGGAAGACCTTACTGCTCTCTACAACTACCTGAAAGGAGGTTATAGCAAGGTGGGTGTTGGTCTCTTCTCCCAAATAACAAGTGGTAGGAGGAGAGGGAATGGCCTCAAGTTGCACCAGAGGAGGTTTAGTTTGGATATTAGGAAAAATTTCTTTGCTGAGAGGTTCTCAAGCATTGGAACAGGCTGTCCAGGGAAGTGGTTGAGTCACCATCCCTGGGGGTATTTAAAAGACGTATAGATGTGGTGATTAGGGACATGGTTTAGTGGTGGCCTTGGCAGTATTAGGTTAACAATTGAACTCGATGATCTTAAAGGTCTTTTCCAACCTAAATGGTTCTGTGATTCTCTATACGTTGTACAACGGCCTCTCTTGAACAAAGCTCTTAAGATTTTTTTTTCCCCTCTCCTTACATGTCTGTGTTTAAAATTATTCTTCTTTTATACCTATGGCATTTCTTTACCCAAAACAGGTGGATGAAGGTGTGATCATGTATGAGCACTTACATGCCGAGTCAGCTGGCTGGAGTGCAGAAGATTTTTTCACATTTACTGTTTCCTCTCCACCATCAGTTCTGGACCTCCAGGTGTTCCATATTGTCATTTCATATGAAATTACTAGGCATGATGGGAACAGTCGTCTTCTGGCAAATACAGGTAAAGATGCTGTACTGTTTGGCCTCCAAATTGTTTTGGATCTGTCAGGGTTCCAATGAACAAATTTGACAAAATGAAGACTACCTTCAGTAACAAATGACCTGAATAATTTTGTCACAGAGTGTAGTGTAGATAGTAGCTTGGAAAACTGCATGACTGCATCTTTAAAAATGGGATTACTTGTGTTTGATCCTTCGTAGTGCTCTAATGGGTATTTTCCAGTTTGCTGTAATGGTAGGTGAAAACACTGTCAGAAGCTTTGAGATACTGATATTTCTTTAGTCTTAATGTATGCATTAATAGAAAATCTTGTCTCTTATATGTGATGGTATTTTAAAAATAGTGGTAATATATTTTTAGCCATGACATATGGAAATCAAGGATATCGTGATGGAGAAGCTTTTCTGAGCATCATCAGTGTTTGATATCTAATTTCTGAAACATTGCAACTATAAAATAGTCAATTTCTAGAATTCTGTTTTCCTTTCTGCTAGGTGCCATAGTCCAGGAAGGAGGCAGAGTATTAATCAACAAAACAAATTTAGATGCTTCAAATCTATTGATTAAGCTACCTGAAGTACAGCGCTCGATGTATGAAGTCTGGTATCAAGTTGTATGTTTACCCCAACATGGCATGATTGTTGCTGGAGAAAGAAACGTTACCAAAGAAAAACCTAACTTCTCCCAATACATACTGAATAAATTTGGAATTGTGTACATACATGATAATTCCGAATCACTTAATGACAATTTCACTTTTGCTGTTTGGTTAAACCTGAAGAGCAAGTCTGCAACAAAGCCCCATAGTGAAGTTTTAGAGGAGATGTTTAATATCACTGTTGTTCCTGTGAATGACCAGGCTCCAGAATTGAAGACTAAAAGGCTGCACTTGAAAGTCTTGCAGGGAGATGTGTCAGTGCTGGGGTCAGAGAATCTGAAAGTTGAAGACCTAGATAATGCCCCAGATGAGCTCAAATACACCATTGTTAGCAACCCCAATAATGGTTATTTAGCAATGAAAAGCAATCTCACTGTCTCTATAAAGGATTTCACACAAGCTGATATTGACAGTGGTAAGGTTTGGTTTGTACAGGATGGAAGTTCATCCTCTGGGGTGTTTTATTTCAGTGTCACTGATGGCAAACATCGTCCTTTATACAAACTCTTCAGTCTTGAAGTCATACCAATCACTCTTGTCCTGGTCAACCGTACCAATGTTGCACTTCCACAGGGCCAGACATCTGTCACTATTACTAACATGCAGCTTTCAGCTGTCACAAATGGAAAGAGCACTAATATCATGTATGAAATAACTCAGCCGCTCAAATACGGGCACCTGATGATTGGAAATGAGCAGGTTACTAAATTTGAGCAGGCAGATTTGTACGCAGGAAGCCTGTCTTACCACCTGACAAATCTCACTGCATCCAGAGAAGTACTGGAGTTTATGCTTTTCACTGCAGAAGGCAATCTAACAGGACAAGTGCTGAACATCACAGTGAAACCTTTATTACAAGTTGTACCTGACATGCAGATTTCAAATCAAGCAGCTTATAAATTCAGAAGCAGTGACCTGGATGCTTCTGAGCTAGCTAATTTGACAAATAGTAATCCTAGATTTGAAGTGATAGTGCCCCCGTCTCATGGAAGGATTGTAAAGAAGAGGTTTGTGAATGATGCTGTGTTTGAAGATATTCAGACATTCACCCAGACTGACATTGATAATGGTGTTGTGCTTCTAGACATAAATACGAATATGACAGGCATTGATCTATTAAATGACTCATTCACTTTTATACTCAGGGCAGATGCTGTGCAGCCTGCTGTCGGCTGTTTTCAGTATTCCATCGTGCCATACAGTCCTCCACTTGTGCAGGGTTTTACAACTGAAGTGCCTTCCATAACCAGCATGACCACTTTGAAGATTCACACTACCTCAAAGGGCAAGACACCAGCCTCCTCTGAGAATGAAGAGCCTGCAGTAGCACCACGGAAGACTGAATCAACCATGTGGCCAGGGCAGAATCACTGGGGAAATATACATGAGGAAGGTCCATTGCTAAATCTGACAATGGGAACAAGTGGATCTGCGAGGATTAAGACCACAAACCAGGTTAATGCCAGGAGTCCCAGAGAGCAGGCAGGTGAAAGCAGCAACCCTTGGTACATCATTATACCCCTGGTTCTGGTGTCTGTGCTACTCATCGTTGCTGTTATTTCTGTGTGCGTTATGCTAATGTGTCAGAAGAAAGAGAAGACAAAAGTGCTCGTCAGAAGTCAAACAGATACAGTCCTCAGTAGTCCAGATCGATGTATTGAACGGAGCTTGACTGTACCCAGTGTTACAGTGACTCCTCTCCTGAAGGGGGCCGAGAGAAGTGCACCCTCAACACTCATAAGAGTAAGACATGAGCAGCTGCTTCCTGCAGTTGCTTCTCCAACTGTAGAACGGCCTCTGCAAAACAGCTGGTTAAACCTTGATCCTGAAATGATCCAGTATTGTCGAAAAACAAACCCAACTTTGAAGCGCAATCAATACTGGGTGTAGTTATGGCCAGATTTGGTCATGCTAGTTGATGCAGTATGGAAAAGAGAGCATACATCGTTGACATATACTTTGTTCTTTATTACACTTATTTATTATAAGTCAAATGATGTTTGTTAGGTGAAATACAAATATCTGTGAAATAAAAATTAATAATAATAATAATAATAATAATAATAATAATAATAATAATAATAATAATAATATCTTACCAATTATGCTGACCTTAAAACAAGATTTCAAGTCACTACTTCAACAAAATTCCCACTTAATTCAGTACAAAATTTGGCCCTATAGATCTTGATTGCACCCTGTGTATAATATTTTTTGTTTCCCATGACAGGGGTAAAATAGAATGTTCTGTTATGGATTATGTATTTTTAATATAGTTACTTGTTTTGAAGAACCAAGTTTGCTATAAAGGTCTCATATTCTTTCCTGAATTGTCACTTCTGTTTGAAGAACTTCCATCTGCTTCTATAAGTAGTTGCCAAGGTGCTAATTTCAATAATGTCATTTTGACCCCAAGGCTGTTAAGAGGCCAGTACTAAAGGTGCAAAGCTGTGATTTTTTTGACAGGTGTTCATCCTGGTCACTGAATTGGAAATCTAGAATTCAGCTCAGCAACAATAGTGCAGCAGTGACAGTATATAAGGATTTTGGTAAAATACTCTTTAAGATGTTGTTTGTTTTGTGTTTCTTTTTCCTCATTTGATATTGAACTCTAGCCTTTAATGTCTACAGACTGATAAAATGCATCCATGACCTCTAATCCACGTGGCAAAAACTGTATATCTGCCAGTCAGCTTGTCTGCTGAATTATCTTTAGGTTTAGGTTATGTCTGGAAGTGCCTATTTCCTGCTCCTGACAGAGGGCTAAGCTCTGCCTTCAGTGAAGCAAACAGAACTCTCAGAAGTCTGGGCGTTCAAGCACATGACAGTAGAAGCAAATCTTGTGTTGTGTGTTCTGGAGCTACTGACAGAAACAGTCCTGGGAGGAAGTACTTATCCTCTTCTGAAGTTTCACAATTTACCCTTCATCTCCCAGAACTCCGAACACATGTACTTACACACTATGACAAGTACTACCTGCTCTAAGTTTGTCCCAGTGGTAAAATGTACAATAATTTTCCTGCAAAGGGATTTTTGAACTTTTGAAAATCCAAGCTCAATAGTGATGTGCAGTCTCTGGTTAAGGTCCAGTCTTTCTTCCACTGAGGACAACTGCAATATTCTTGTTGACTTCAGAGAACAAACTGACTTCAAGGGAATAGTGATTGGATCATAACCAGTCTCTTACCACTGAACTTATCTATTTTCATACTTTTGCATTGTTAAAGCTTCCAGTTCCCTTCTCTGCAAAAACACCATGCTCAGTGTCAGGATGCAGCCTCAGCACTGCACAGTTAACAGTGGAATATTATTTTTGATTGAGCCTATGTACTGCAATTTTTGCTTTTATAGAATGGATGTATGGGCCTCAACATCCTTGGTGCTATTCATTTCACACTACTTTGGATGATTTTTTTGGTTTTGATGATTAGCTGTGTTTCTGTCATTTATATATTTCAATTATGGGAAGTTTTCACTGGTGAAGAGGGCCAGACTAAGCCTCCGCTTACTGCTGTGTTCTGGGAACTAAAACCAGGAGCAGTGGGGGCAGTCAGTTTTATCTTCACCATGTCTGCCATGGTCAGCTGTGATTTTGGTGCATTTTGAAGCAATGCATTTTTCAGAGCCCATGTCAAGGAAAGTAGTCCATGTCAGTGGAAAATATGCAAGCCATATCTTCAGCTGGTCAAGTTAGTGGAGCGCTAGGGACTAAAGACATGATCCCTTTATGTGCTTAAACTAAAATATATTTGAACCCTGATACATAGGTTTTATTTCTCTACCATTTTTCCCTGACAGGAGTGTGAGCAGGTCTGATTTCAGGCAGTGTGGTCAGTGTAAAAGGTCAGGGTGTTCAGGTGTCCCAGGTGGACTGCTGCAGACCTGCATTATAGACCTTTTCTACTTTCCCAAAGAAAATCTTTGTGACTGCTTTTAGAAACTCTCAGCCAGAGAGGTGGTGCTGCCAGCCATCGCAGGGACACCCCAGCATCCTTAGTGGAGGTTCAGCTCTATGTTCTTGCCATTTTCTGAGAGCTCTTCTACTAACACCATGCAGACAGCAGCTTCCTCCAAATCCCAGCTGTCAGCTACAGCCTGTCTCTGTTGCCTTCTAGCTGGCAGCAGGAACCTGATTCCTTTACACCTCACTCAAGGCCTCACTCCAAAGAGAACTAAAGAATTATCATTCCAATGCTTTCCTGAACTTAAGGAAGCCTGTCTCACATTTCCCTACCTCTGAGACGTTCTGTCAACAGCAAAAGAGGCATCATACTCCAATACCTACCGGGAGACCAAGCAACATGCCTCCAGTTTGGTACCAAAATAGTGCAGTGCTGAAAGCTGCTCGAGTCTGGTTTGGTGACAAAATCTACACTGCAGACCTGTGACAGGCTGGACAGAAATATGGAAGTGAAATGTGTGCTTGTTGGGATTTTGCTAAACATGTTGTAAAGGCAGGTGTGCCCAAAGTTGTGGTGCTCAGTGTTCAGTGGAGATCGAACATATGGCTGCTGTAGTGCTGGTGATGGTAAGAATTGAGACCATGACATAGTAGCAACTGAGTCAAAGAAACAGCAATGCAATTAGAGCTCCGCAATTGAATGGGCATTCTTGAGTTTCAGCGTGCTCTGAGCAAGAAATCATACATGAAAAGTACAGAAAAGGTGGTAGAATTTGTGCTGGCTTTTTTGGCTTCAGTATAATGAGCTGAACTCTTGTTCTGTGTTTCCAGAGTGCTTTTGGCTGCCAACAGCTGTTCATTTTAAGTAGATCAGGCATTTTGAGCATTGGGTTAAATTTCTAAATTTTTGAGAGTTTTTGTTTGTTTGTTTATTTTGGTTTTGGTTTGCTTTTTTTTTTAAACAAAACCAGCTTAAATGCCTAATTCATCAGTGAAGTGTGCCAGCAGTTTTCCCCCTCAGTTGATGCTGCTGTGAGATAACCAAGCATGCCTGACACATCATGGAATATTTTGATGAGAACTTTATATGTATATACGTGTATTTTATCAGTGATTACTGGGTTTCATACAAAATGCAAAGGTAATATTGTAAGTTTTAACAACATAATGAATTTTGCTTTAAGATCCTACCCTGAATTTCCAGTTAAAAAAGAAAAAGTCTGGTTGCATTAATATAAGCTTTCCTTCTTTCTGGACAGTACAGATAGTATCTGGCAGAGGACAGTTCATCTGGCTCTTACATAGATATTTAATATAGGTGAAAGGAGTTAACTCTGGATGAACAGAGGTCACTGGCTTAGCTGGAAGTCCAGCTTTGAGATGGTAAAAGGTTGCTGAGATGAGATCACCCTGGGTTTTCCAAGTAACAATCAATTAGAAAGTCCCCAAGAAATAGCATTTTGTACCTAGGGATCCTTTTTGTAATTTGAGGAACATACATAGTTTATGGTCAGGTTGGTTTGAATCTTTTCATTGTTTCACTCAACCTTGAAGTTGTGTTTTATTTAGGTTTAAGAAGGATTTCTTTTCTTGCCAAATGGGGTTCTAAACTGCAGCATTAAAGTGCCTTGAAAACATAAAAATGAATAAACTTTTGTTTATAATCCACACACTTAACGTTTTTGTGCTTTCTTTAAAGACCTGTGATCCATGCTGAATCTCAAGAGGATCCCATTGCCAGTAACAGCATTGTTCCAAGTTTTCTGATGTTAATTTTTTTAATTGCTCATGTGTTGAGATTCGTTGTGCTGTGCCCAGTGTTGTGCCTCTAACATAATGCATATGGCTGGAAAACGAGGGATGTCTTGTGCACCTACCTGGCTGTGTTCAGCACTTGCATGAGTCTAACATCAAAACAAATGCATTGGTTTGAACTTGCTCAAACAGGGCTGCACTGTGTTCATTTCTGTATGTTTTTCTGTAATTTAACTACACATGCTTGAAAGATTTTAAAATACCGAATTCTTAAATGTTAATACATTAGTGCTGTTTTGTCATTAAAAAATCTTTATGTTTTTTCATCTCTAAAATTTGTCAGGTTATCTTTTATTCTCAACCAAAAATACAGTCACTCCAGACTCACACCAAATGCATTGTTTGGCCTGATTTTGGTTTTTTGTTAATCAGAATGTACTGGTTTGTAGTTATTCCTGTAACTTGAGATAAAAAACTTTTCTTGAGGTGTTAGAAATGCTGGTGGCCCAGGGAAGCAGCTTCTTCCATGTCATGATGCGTCATCCTGAGCACAGAAATCGGTGTCAGCAGTAGTGGCACTCAGTCACAGGGTCATTTGCCCACTCCCCTAGCCCTCTTACAACTCAGCAAATGTTGGTTTGGGAAAAAAAAAAAAAAGAAAATAGGACGGAAATGGTCATAAATCTTGCTTATGTTTTTCCTTTTATTAAAATAGTAGTAAGGGCTAGCTACAACTTTTGCTGCAGTAGCCCGTTAATACCTGCAAGGTCAAATTCAGCAGTGGACATACTTAGGTGTCCTGAGCTACAGACCTCCATTCTGCTTGCACTAATTTTTTCCAAGTCAGTCCCCGTGATGTTATGTTGAAGTAAATTCTGTGAATATTTTTGAACAAGCTGAAAATAATTGTCCTGGCATATTCAATGGAAACCCTATTAATTTATCTTCACTCGTTTCAAGCTAAATAATTCCTGCCAGAGCTTGCATATCCCAAATACAGTCCCAGAACAAAATGTACTTTCATTGCAACTAGTGAAATCCATAGTTTCACATCTGCTTGTAGAGAGACTGTGGTGAAATGCTTGCTTTATGTGATTGTTTCCTCATTTCCAGTCTTGCTGCTTGGTTATTTTTGTGGTAGTGTTTTGTATGTGCTGGTAAGCACTATTTAAACATGAAGTTCACAGACTGAGTTTATAACTGCACCTTTGTTTATTGTTGTAAAACTGTTTATAATGCATGGCATCACAGTGAAAGAGACATCAGGTCTCATAAATGAGTTGGGGAAAATGAAGACTAAGCAGATTGGGAATTGCTATGGGATGGTGCCAAGTGTCAGAACTTCCTTCAAGAACACAGGCAATAGATCAGAATAAATACA